AATCTATTATTGATGTATTTGCAAAGCCAAAATGCCGGTGATCTATTATGGATCAAGTCACTTTAGTCTCTGTTTATTTTGTACATATTGTTCGTCATCGAAACTAGATGAGAAAAAGTTGATCTTCTCCTATCGCAAACTTCTGTGAACGTGACAAAGACGGATATCAACAAACTTAACTCCTGATGTGTTCTCTATAAAATCTAATATATTCAACTTTTCTTTACCATTTCTTCAATCAACTATTTGTTTCTATATGGTCATCCCTGAAATGACTATTGCAAGATTATTATTTACAAATACACTGCATCATTCAGCGTTATTCTTATTAACATATACTGAACTTTAAAAATGTATTCACTCGTATTTGTGTTTGAAAATTTAGAAGAACTTTTGTCAATGTCAGGTCATGATGATTATGTTCTTTTGAAATACACTTCAAAAGTCACTAGGAATAGTATTCTTAGTTTTTATTTTCTTCTGGATACAATGACCCGCAATAATTATATTGTTATTGCATGTGTTTTTTCGGTACTTTATATATAATATTTTTTGTTTTTTTTTTGGTGTTCGATAAAAACTTTTTATTCCGTCGAAGAAATTCATAATTTTCAAATAAAAAAAATTAATTATACGATCGCGCGATGATTATTTGTTTAGAGAAGGTATATATTGAAATCAACGAATGTATTAATGAAAAATTTGAATAATGGAATTTTTATTTTCTTTCTTCTATTGAAAGTTTCATATTTATATAGGGCTGAAAATTGTGCATAAGGCAGTGAGAAAAAAAACATCGAATACGATGAATTCAATTACTATCGGATGGAAAAAACAATTGCCTGGTCAAGTCGAAATTGCAAGTAAAAAGAAAAATGTTCAGAATAGTATACCACGCCAAGTAAAAAAAAAATCATTTTTCTTTTCCGAAAAAAATATGACTTTATTAATTTGGTTTAGATTTTTCCCAGAAAACAACCACAAGCATTTCAAAATATAGAATCTTTTAATACAGGAACAATTCGATCTAACAAACAACTTCTCGAAGATCCTCCTCATACGTGGGTTCCCACACATAACTTAGCTTTAAGACCAGCCAATGATTCGACGTCTCAGTAAGAAAAAAAACTATTTTGTGTTTTTTTATTTCAAAACAAAAATTTTTTAGAATAAAAATATATAATGATAGGCGACTTTGTAGTGCACGAGCAGCGGTTCTTACATTTCTTATTGCTGCTATACTGATAATAGGTGCAGGTACTTCTATTGGTATTGTATTTGCTGTCATAAATTCTAGCAGTTCATCTGGAACTGGAAATAGTAGCCAGAACTCATGTATGTCATTTTTAAGGAGAATGATATTCATAGGAAAAAAATTTTTCTTGTTTCAGATACGACAATAACATCAGGAGCAGGAACTAGTAGTGTCAGCATCGGTAGTCAAACTGGGTCAGGGTGTACAGGTTATACAGAAATCAATGACCCAACACGAAGTATTAGTTATGTCGGATCACTCAATTCTTGTGATAATGGACCAATATTCAATGCAACTAATGGGGGAGCTTGGATCCGATTTGTTGGTACTGGTGGAGATAAAATTCCTATGGTATCAGCTGGTACTAATCATTGTGGTGGTTACTTGTCTGGTTGGTACAATGATACATTACCACTGACGCAAGATGTTGTCATTAGTGGAACAGTATGCTTCGATGCTCCTGGAGGTGAATGCATCTTTTCCGTTAGTATCTCAGTAATCCATTGCTCTGCTGGTTATTATGTTTACTTTTTATCACCTTTATCTATATGTAGTGCACGTTATTGCACAACATGATTTTATCTTGTATATGTACTTTTGAATTTTATTTTTATAATAAATAGTGACAAAGACATTGTATTAGATGATGCTTTCATTTTGGTTGCTCGTTAAAGAAACGCGATTTTCTTATTTTCTTTTCAAAAGAAAATAACTAATATGAATCAGTAGTCGACTTATTATTGATCACGAAAATAAAGGGAGCCTCGATTTATTATCTTTATGTGACATTTATCTTACAACATCTGCTCTTTTGGCACTCAAATTTTTAAATATCATTAAAACTTGCGGTTAATAGATATAACGTTTTGTTTATTCTTCGCACACATATAGTTAATATATCTCAATCATTGATGTCTAAATGAGTATATTTTTTTGGAATCTTGACGAGGAAACGTTTTCAACTAAACAGTCTTTTTTTGGAAGAAATGCATTCGATTATGAATTATCGACGATGCTAATTTCGAAAATACCTATGAGAAATTCCCTAGGTTCTCATATACTAGCTTTTTAGAAAGCCAATTTTTCAAGATTCACTAGTTTTTCGCTAAAATTTTCTTTTGATCTGTGAAGATCATGAAGCATACCGCATCGTCTATAGTTCAACAACCTTTACAACAGATGCATATCAACATTTCAATTTGAAAATTTTCAAGATGGTTTTGTTTTACTTAAAACTCATTTTTTCAAAAATAGAAAAGATAATTGACTTATAGACAACTGGATATGCTCTATAATCTAATGAAGGCATCTATCTAACTGTCGAATACCGTTCGACTTCATTTTAACGCTACGAATACGTCTCCGTGAAACTAAGCAATGATTAGAAAGGTTCTGACTCATGGTCTAACATTTAATTTCTCAAAATGCAGTGATTTACCGTAGGATGACACAGTTATCGAATCTAGTTGACAACTGAGTATCTCGAGAAAGACATGTTCATTTTTGTTGAAACTTTCAGTACTATAATTAATTCATTGGACTTTAGTCAGATTTATTTTGTGCGTCGTACGATTTTCAAATATTCATGACATAGCTTCTTCATATAATATTTAACCAGCTTTTCTTAATCTATCTGTTGCCTTTGATTCATTCTATTTATAAGATGCGAGCATTAGACTTTTACTAATAAATAAACTATCTACGCGAATAAAAATTCTCGAGCAATAAACATACAACTTCATGTTTCATGGAATAAAATCAATAGTAAAACGCTCCATATGAAATACATACACGAAACAATAAAAAGACTGTAATTTTGATATATATATATATATATATTTCTTCTCTGAGATTTTTGTGTGTAGGCATTGGATTAAATAAATTTCTTTTGAATATGTAGAGCAACTGACTGATTATCGGAAGATGCAGATGATTTTCTTTTGTTCAGTTGTGAGTATTGAATAAAGAATATTCTGTAGCAATATTCTAATTATTTATATAGATATAATTTCATGGACAATGCAAATAAACATAGAAAGTTCATCTTTCTAATTGTCTCGTTCTTACAACTAATTATATTTTCATTTTACAAATAATTTTGATCAAAATGGATAGAAAAAAGTATATTTTTGTGTTTCAGATGCATCAAGAAGTAAAGTGAAATCGCTAAAAGTGCACTATATTTGCAGATTTATTTATTTAGTTTCTTCAAAATTTCTTACATATGTTGCTCTTCTATTTTTTTACTAGTAGCTATTGTGCTACTAGAAATGCAAGCCGATATATTGAACAGTAGCGGCTGCGACGGCTTATATGAAAACTTGATATCATACTACGAAATTTGATGTTGGATAAAGTTTGTAGAAAAAATTTAATCAATTATACAAATAGACAGAACTAATGAGAAACATAAAATAGGAAGTTTTTTCCTCTTGCTCTCGATGTGCCAATTGTTAAACTTCTCGAAAGCGATCGATATGTTCAACCTGTGATTAAATATTTCAAAAAGGTCATGCTTTTCATAGAAACAAGATGAATTGGATATTTTTCGACCCATCAACACTACGCATTGTACAAAACAGATATAAACACATGGATAACTTTTTCTGTGCTGTCCTAATCCGTGTTCAGCTGTGGTACTAAAACATTTGTGTAAAGTCTTACGGGAAAAAATCTAAGAGCTCTCTATGCATGCATGCACTTAATTTATTTTTCGATAATCTATGGGAATATATAAATTAAAAGGAGCGTAAATAATTTTGAATCGAATTGCATACGATGAAAGAATTCAAAATATTTTTCGCACAATCTAAAGTATTTTCAAATGTTGAGATTAATAGTTATCAAAGATGAGGATCTTTTAAGAAGATTTGTTTTCTTTCAATCTCTATCATGATGATGATGCTTTCATTTACCTTTTCATGTTATTTAGACCATTCGAATGCAACAGTTACATATAAAAATTCCGACAAGGAATCTCCTAGCCGAACTTTTTTTTAATGTGCTTGACATGCACAGCTCTCAAGATATATCCACTTCATGTGACTTTCTTTCCATAGCAAACATGTAATTATTTGCATGAGTGAAGTGTACATTGAGAATGGCTCATATGCTGATTACATGAAAATCATACGACTAAATACGCTTGAAAGAATCAATTGAAATAAAATCATAAAAAATTTTGTGCTCAAAATGGAAGAATGCTTCTTGTCATTGAGGATGTCTGCATCTACTTACTCGTATATAGATCCTTTTTCAGCTGCCTGTTACAGACTAGGTTGTTTAAGCTGTGAATTTTTATTATGAGTCGAAACATTTTGATTATAACAGTGAAGAAAAAAAGACATGATAAGCACGTATAAAATGTAATTAAAATTGGTTTCACGCATCACAAGTATTGTCTTCATAATTCTGAAAGATGATCGAATCCAATGGAATATAACTATCGCTAGGTTGTAATGATTCATAAAGTATTTTGTTTGTGATCATCCTTACACGCATTTGAAGAAGAAGTTCAAGTACCTGAACTTACCAAAAAAAACTTCCAGATACAAAAGAATTTTACGAGGATGAAAAAAAAAATCCTTCTGAGGTAGTATATCCTGATGTTAACATTCATAGAACATCAAAATACCTAGTAATATTCTGTTCATTGAATTCTTTATTTTATATTAATCGAAATCATTTTACAAAAGAATATATATCCGTTTTGTTCAACAAAGGAAAAGTAATATGAATTCACTCATTAATCGATGACTGATAAAACTTTATTAGCAGCTTGAATGCCAGTTTCCAATGCAGCGTTCACAGTTGAATAGTAATATTCATGTGTTGCTTCACCAGCAAACAGAATTCTTCGAATCTAAAATTAATCCGTTCGATTAACAGTTTTAGTATGACTAAATGATGCTCTTTTTTCTTGTATAACTTTGCATAATCATGAACTAACACATCGATCACAATCGAGAAGAATGTAAAAAATGAGGTCTGATGATTAATTTCAGCAAATTTTTTCTTTTGATATTACTCATAATGAAATACAATTACAAGTCTGTACATATTTCGTTCTAGAGTCCAAAATTACAACAAATCTTATAGTCGCCTTTTAATAAGACAGGAATCAAAGTGCATAAAAATTCTCATAACTACTATCGACTTGTTCTACTGCTTTTTTTTGGGTTTCTTTCTGTAGAAGGAAAGACAGTGATTCAAACCAAAAAAATACTATAATGTCAATTTGAAAACAATTTTTAGTAGATAAAAGTTCTTCAGACATTTGAAACATGTTCTAATTTTCTATCAAAAATAATTCATAATGACATAAATTAATTTTCAAAGAGCTCTAATTTTGCTTTCTTTGCATAAAATACGATGTCTTTTTCAATATACTTTGTAAATTTTAATTAATATAATCATACCCCGTCTGGTGCATACGATGCTCGCAATTGTCTTCGATCATGTTTATTTGATTTAATCGATGCGTACGAATAAGAACCTCGAATATATTTATTATTATGCCATTCACTTCTAAATAGGAATAGAAAACAAAAACGAATATCATCAACAGTCTATCGAAATAAAGAAAAAATCATCGTACTTAAGTACTCTGACTGGTTGATATGTCTCTTGAGCGATATTCATACAATGGCAAAGAACCTCATGACAAATTTGTCCAACTAATTGTTCACTAAGATTTTCTATCATAACTGCAGCTGGACCAACTAACCAACCAATTAAAACTGGTATATCAGTTGATGGTAATACATCAAAATGGAATAGCATGTTAACAATTTCTTTAAACATATCTGAATCGACTCGTTCAGCATGTAGTTGTTGTCGTAATCCATCAGACATTTCGAATGACAGATCTTTTTTTGTATGTAATAAAGCAATGTGACTGATATGTCGATTCCAAAATTTCTTTTTGTATATCAGTAACACCTAATATGAAATTAAAAAAAATTATCTTTTAATGGATCTTGATCGAAACATTTTTGAACATTAAAAATTTTCATATTTTCGAATATAATTTATATACACTAACTTTACCAATCATATGATCTAAGAATTCATTCTATGGGACAAATATTCATTTTTTACATACTACACACAATCTCGCATAGTGCTCTGTGTGGTTGAGTCTCATGTCGGGAAATAGAAACTTGTAGAACATGAGCAATTCTACATTGTGACTAATCATACATATCATAGGAAAATATTACAATTTCAAGCAGTTGTAAACATCAAATCGTATGTAATCTTACTTTGTTAACTGTACCAAAACCTAAATTAGCAATAGAATTTTGTTTTTGTTGAATTAATTTTGGTTCTTCAGCAAATATCGTATGAAAATTCTTTTTCAAGTGGCCTAATGAAGTCGTCCAAATAATATGATCACACATCATTGTTTTCATACGGTGTTCATTTAGACAATTCATTTCAACTAATAATTTTTGATCATCTTCAATAAATTTTACTCGTGTTACTTCACAATTCAAACGAATACGATTATCATTGGGTATGAAAGATTTTAAATAATTAATAAATGGACGATATCCACCATTTTTTAAATCATTTTCATATTCACCTTCCAGATCTTCATAGGCAAGATATTCTAAATAGTAGACGAATAAAAATAAATATGAATAAAATGAAAAAGGAATAAATAGATTATGTAGGTTACCAATTAGGTTTAAATCAGATAATGAAGAACAACTAGTTTCTGTCATTTCTAATTTCATAAAATAATCAACAAAAGGTCGAATTAAATCTTTGCAAATAAATGAAGAAGATGATAGCCGTTTTTGAAATTCTTTTGGTACAATATCAGCAAATGATATAGGTGATGATGATGTTGCTTGATCTTCATATTTTTCTTCAGCTTTGTCTCTTGCTCGTTCCCATAAATCAGTGACTTTTTCTAGTACTTCAGGTTTAAAATTTTTTCCTTCAGTTGTAACAACCAATGCCTCTATATGAAATAAAGAAAACACTAATTCTAGAATAGAAGTTCAAAATCGATATATTTTGATCTAATGCACAATATCTCACAGTTTTTAGAAGACATTTTACATTGATAATTTTTCACATATAGAACAATAAAGAGTAGCACATAATCAATATGTCAAAATGTCTTCCTCTCTTTATGACACTTCCCAACATATTCGAGAATTTCCTTCTTTACAAAATGACTATCTACTCAATTGTCTAACTGTGACCATCAAAAGGTGAAAAAAAATCTTTTATAAAAGCTTCACTGAAATTTCAAATATATCATTAAAGTAAAAATATGTGAACAATCATTTTCTGGTAGAATTACATGATTGTCTTTTCTTAATGTGTTTACTCTTGAAGTTAACAATTATACTATTTTGTTCTGAATTCAATTTTACGCTCGGTAGCGCGAGAGGAAACGTGTCGTGTCATAGGTGAAGTATCGCTTTGGAAAACATAATTTTCTAGAATGCATCTCAAAATATCATAGAATGTTGATTCAAAGTCTATTTCTACTGAACAACAGCAGCAGAAATCACGACATCTTCTATCCATTGAGATCAAATTCTTTACTCTTAGCATTGGTTCTAATAAGCAAAGGCTTTAGAAATAGCAATAGGGGCCCATGTTTTAGGTTTGAATTGACAAAAAGAGGCTATTTGTAAAATGAAGACAGTAGTTTTGTAGAGCAAGAAGTTCTCTATTGAGGTCTCTAATGTATTCAGACATGTTCTAAAAAGAAGCACGCATTTTGTCCGATTAATTATGCACCATTCTTTAGAAACGAGAAACCTATGAAATAATGTATTATTTTTTTTCAATCTAAAGAAATTTTTAATTAAATATAAGTTAGCATAAGAAACTATTCATACTTATTACGCTCGACATCATTTTCTATTTTTACATACCATCATCAGATTCTTCATCATCTGACAAAAGAATATCCAATTCATCACAAATATCATACACAGCATTTTTCTTATCACCATGTACATATTGAGCACCCTAACAATAAATCATAGTTTCAATAAATAAAATAGAAAAAAAACCAAAGTATCAATTTACCAAATCAACTGTAAGATTTGGTGCTGAATAACATAGAAGAAAAAATAAATAAATAAATCAAATTACAAAAAAAAAATAAACTAAATATACATACCTGGATCAACAGTAAGAATACGACCACCAAGATAATTTTGTGCTTCAACCAATACATAATTTACATCGCATCCTAAGGTTTTTGCAGCTGCCAAACCTGCTACACCACCTCCAACAATAATTACTTTAACATGATCCATACTTTGTTTTTCCTTTCACTACAGACAGGTAACTAAACCTTGACAAAAACAACAAAATACATGATTCAATATTTATACAGAAATGTTTATTGACATAAACAATCAGTTGTATCTTGTTAAACACGAATCAACTTACTCATACAAGGAGAAGAAACGACTAAAGTTCCCACGTACTGTCGTCGGTAGATTTTGCGTCCAAGATATGCATCGCTTGTGTTGTTGAGAAAAAGGAAAAAAAACTATTGGTGTTTGTTTTTAACCATTTCACAAAAAAAAAATCACATTGCTTAATGAAATGCGAGACTAAAGGTAGTTATTACAGAAAGAAAAAGTCTAAAGCTTAAAGGAAAACAAAAAAAAATAACCAACATCACAAAAGCAGAAGTAATTGGTTAATAAGCTTTTTTGCGTCCTTTGATGTTGAAAAAAATACGTTTTACATAGTGCTAGCATTCTTTTCTTTTTTTCTTCTGAGTAATTTTATAGACATGAAAAGCTGATGTCGACTATTACGATATTTTTTTTTATAACGATTAACGGCTGTTGATGGGGAAAAGCTAACTGCTCTTAAATAATTCATTAAATTATGTAAAACCGTGTTGGCTGTTATGACTTTTTTTTTTGCCCTCCGATATTGATGATACTAGTACATTGAACTATGTTCAATTAAATTAACAACTAGCTTACGAATTGTTTACAATAAAAATGAACTATGATAGAATTCAAGTGTTCATTAGCATAATAACAATTTTTTTGTTTTTTTTTCTCATATGAAGTAGCAATTACTTTAATAGTCTAATGCGTTAAAAAATGGAAGAAGATCTTCTTTTAACGAGCGAATGAAGAATGACGTTATCTATTAGATAGTAGAATGCAAGAATGGAAAATAAGTAGAAGACTGATGTAAACTAATGAGTTTGGATTTATATGCTTATTTTAATACCTAAGAGAATCATGTCATCTAACTTTTCTTATTACTATTTTGTAATGGAATCTTTTCACTACAGATTTCTATTTGTAGAAAAAATATTGCAAATATGTGGGTATAAATTTCATACGAAATGATTTGTAATAGGGATATATTTTTCGATAGTTTCTATTTACATTCATGACGCATCGACACCTATGGTGCAAGGATAAAAAATAATTAATTTCTAATAACAGTTGCTAATCTTGACTTCTTTCAAAATAAACAACTGACAGGAAATAAAAGAGATGAATGCAATAAACTTTTGTTTGATTTCTCTGTGTTCATTGATGCATTTGTTTATTGATCTATCCCATCTATTATCAAGTTTTTTACATTATGTAAAACATTTCCTTTCTTTTATAGCTAATAGCTATTTTGTTTCCATACTCAAAGTGTATTACAATTTAGAGTATTGTTGTTGTTGGTTGAAAAAAATCATTATAGTTGCCCTTGATTCATTTTCCGTCTAACAGTTAGCAATTAGTTGTCTATGGATTATTTTTTTCGTCGTCAGAGATGAACACCAATTCCAATGTATTAATTCAGTTGATCGGAAACTACGCATGTTTATATTGTTTGCTCAATTTTATTATACATTGTCGATGTGAGATTTATCATGTCTTTCTTAATTCAGTATTGTTTTTTATCCGTTGAGAAAAAACCCAAGAGAAAAAAACAAGCAAAAATGCAATGAAGCAGAAATTTGATGATTACTATGAATCGAATAAAGTCTGTTGAATTTATAGATAAAGAATTATGTATATAACCAAAATGAAATATACAAAAACAAAAAATAATAATCATAGTAATAAATACAGGTTTAAACTCCATTTAAACATTCAATATTTAATTTCAGCAGTTTTCGATTCAAATAAAAGAACAATTTTATAATTTTCTTATTTCTTATTCATTCACGTACATTCAATCTTTTCTTTCCTCAATAACCAAAAAAACCAATCATAACAGATAAGTAGGCAAGTGATATTTAAATAGCTATGAATATTTATTAAATAGTGCTTGAGATCAGATAACTGTACCTCAAAGTATTTTCAATTTTGATGCGTCTTGCTTGAGATAGACCAGATAGAATAAATAAGTAAATCGCTATTTGTCAAATCGCTACGAATATTTATCAAATAGTGTTGGTAATATTTACTCTAGTCAATGTACTGAATTCAGGATATATTGCTACCAGTATTTCACAAAGACTTTTGTTGAATTTATGAATTCTCTATACTTGAGTATAAAATGTCTCTAAATGTTGAATCCACTAACTTGTTGAAAAATTTTCGTAGAATACTATTGAACCTAGATGTGGATGTATGTGGTTAAGGTGTCGGTTTGCGTTCATCCACAGTTATATATCCACCCTCATATATATCCGAATCGATACAAAAACCGACCATCACACCATACCTGGACATGAAAGAACTGAATGTACACATCCCAAACTTGTAAAATTGAGAGGTAAAAGTTTGCCTCGATTCCAAAGAATAACAGAAACCGATGTCGATTTAATCATATTAGATTAGTTGATTAATGAAATGCATAAAATATGCATCATGGAAATAATATCTCATGTTATGAAACATTTACTCAAATAAGAAAATAATGAAATAGTTAAACAGGTCACAAAGACAATAGCAAGAATTGTCTTTTGAATACACGTTCATCACTCATATTAAAACAACAAACGACAACTTTTGTTGAAAGAAAAATTTCGCAGAAAAGTCTTTCGCTGAATACACACCATATCCTTTGTATAGCTAGCACATGGTTTTCTAACACTAGTCTGATATGCTAGAAACATGAATCTATAGTCGTTGAACAAGCAGAGAAAATTCTTTATTGTGATCGTTGAAATATATATTCATGCGAATGTTAAATTGGCAAATTTTATAAGCATAACCTAGTGGAGTGAGTGTCACTTCTTTTCAATCACAAGAAGCAAGACGAGGGTGAACGGCTTATGAACCAGATTGTGAGATGAAGATTAGAGTGAAGAAAAGATCTAAGCTCAGATTCTCGTTCTCAAATCAAACAAGATTACATCAATGAAAGAAAGAGAAAAAGCGATTTCGCAGCAAAAATATAAGAGAAAATTTATTCAGTCTTTGAATAGTGTCACTGATATTATGTGCCAGAATGAAGAAAAACATGTTCTTACTGGCACTCGAACCACATACTTTCTTAAATATAACAAAGGGCAGCTAAATAAATTTTTATTTCAAACATCTAAAAATATATATGCTAGAAATGACTAATTCACATGTGATATTTCGATATTTATTCCAAACACCATCATCAGACAAGACTACTAACAATAAAACTGAATATTGAATATATAGATACATTAGATAAGAAAAAAATTCATTGATCATATTGTAAATAATATTTCAAATAATTTTATTTAGCTGCACTTTATTCTAGGTAATATTGAATATTGTTCTATTCTATTTCACTCTTTGTCACATGCTTTCTGTCGTCCAGGTAGATGTTCTAAGCCATTTAGACTAGAAGGAATATTTTGATCTTCGTTCAGCATCAGTATATCATCACTGACGCTAAAAACAACCACTACAATCGCATCCACTACAATCACAACCACTACAATCACAACTGCCACAATCACAGCTACAGCAATCACTGCTACAACAATCACTGCTACAACACTCGCAACCATCACTATCACAGCAGCTATCATGTTCCCTAGAAGAACTGTTGTCTCCAGTACAATCACAGCAGCAGATACAGCACCAGTAGTTAAAAGGATCTGTTGTCGATGAATGCAGATTCTTATTTGATGAACGATGGTGCGTTTGTGGTGGTGAAGGTTGTTCGACAATTCGAGAGGCTCTTATTCCTTGTGCTGCATGACGATTATTGTTGAATTTTTCAATGCTGTTTGGCGTGATCTGTTGTTGTGCACGTGAAACTATTGATGTCTGTTGTAAGTTATCATTCACTGGAGAATAGTATTCAGGTTGCGGATATTGTCTGAGATCAATAACAGTTCCATTGAATTGATTTTTAGTTGACGTTAAGTTGTAAAAGTTATCATCTGAAGATGTCGGTTGAGCAAGTTGATATCTTTTAGTAGCCATTATTTTTTAGTTTTACAAGAAATTTTATTAACAGTAAATAATGTTATCTTAAGCGCAATGAAAGAAAATTTATTTCATATAAACTACTTTAGTTGAAATGATAAGACATCGTTTAAATATGGCAATAATGTCATACGTAGGTGGAAAGAAGAAAAACTTTCAAATATAACAAATAACTGACGTCAGCGTCTTTTTTCTTCTTCTGTTGAATCAATGCAGCATATTGTGATGAGTAATAAATACAACAAGTAACTTCATTTTATTGGCGTTACTTATAAAATTGCAAACGTGAAAATTCGAAGCCATATAAAGATATTCTCTATTGAGACGTACGATTAATATCGTTCGATTCAACTCTTGTGTTGTTATTGAGTAATTTAATAGTACATGAATAGTTGATTTTCATTATTGTATGATGTAAAAATGTCTACGTGCTTGAGTTTAAGAATTCTTTTACTTATGTAAATATATAAACTTAATTTTTGAATTTGAAGTAAACAAGGCTTTCAATTTGATTTAATCGTGTCATTATGATGATTTATCTTCCGATGGCTGTTTCACGATCTTTCTGTTGATTTTAGCACGAGTAAAATTATCCAAGTTTTGCTCAAGATTTTAAGCAGAATAAACATGGATAAAATCATGGGGTACGATTTTGACACATCGTCACTAGTTACAGTCAGTGCAAAAAGTATCAGGATACACGCATGTTTTTTCGTATTTCTTGGCTTGCGAAGCAAGAAAAAGAAATAAAATTTTTCTTTTCTCATCAGTAGATAGGCCTTACTTCATACTAGATGTTCTATCAAAACCAGCAATATTGACTTTCACGACGAATCATGGGAGCATTTGTCACGAAAATATCCGATTTTTCACTATGTTTAGAGTAGCACTCTTCTATTTTTTATAAAAAGGTGCTCACTTTTTCGACATCAAAATTATATCATTTTCACACTACTAGAACCAGCAGGGTATGGATGTGTAGGTATGGGTGTGCGTGAACAGAGAACCAAAAGCCACACCCTTTTCGAACAGAACATAAAAAATTACATTTGTTTTTTATTCGATTTCAATATTTTTTCAGGTATTGAGTAGATACGAATGATTTGCAGATACTGAACGTTGTAAAATACTGACTGCACATTCATAAAATGAAAGTGCATACGAATAGTCACCCATGTTGTCATACATTAGTAATTTACAATATGTATAAAGGTCAAAGCAAATGGATGCGTAGTTAGTAATCTTTGATAACACGCAACGGCATAAAATAACATTTAATCCTAGCAGCCGATTATGGTTTTATCAAAATATACAATTTTGTTTGAAAGATGACAAAAATGCAGAATTTTTTATGTATATAATACTAATGTACTCTTTGATTTAAATAATTTTGTGACTTAATACTTCTTCTCTATATAGCAACAATCACAACTATGTAGAATTGATGAGCGCTCAAATAGGTTGATTGTTGTTGTCTACGACAAAATGAGTAGCTGTTGGTTACAGGAGTTTTTCTTGTCTTCACCGAAACTTATACTCTCACCCTGAAAATGTTGCGTATGGATGGTTTTTCTCCAAGTTTTCATTATTATATTTTTGACATCATTATGATGAATATAATTCATACCCTTATACTTTGTGTGAATAATCTGATGATGTATTAGTGTATCTCATGTTATTTTTTCATAAAAATAATAGTCTTTGGCTAATTTTTGAATTCTTTTGGAAGACAACCTTAAACCTCAAGAGTACTCGCGATGGACTTCAAATTCGTATCGTAGATAGAGGAGAGTAAGAACTATATTTAAAAAAAATGCTCATCTCTCTTACACCAATATTTCTTAACGTTTTATGGTAAAAGGAATAAAATGTCTATATCTCACAAACCATCGAGAAAAAAGTCTACACTTGTTGGATGATCATCATTCGGTATATAATAATGATTACACAAATTTAGAAGTTCTTAGGTATTGTGATTGCGCAATGGTAATCAATAAGTTAAATTTTAATTATTTACACTTAAAATGACGTTTAGTTTTCTTCTGAGACTTTTTGAAACTTGCATAGCAATCGTACAAATGAATTGATTACAAAAATAACAGAAGAGGCGATATATTTTTTTCTTTTGTAGTTAAACTTTATAGTAATAGAAGAAATAAGATGGTAATATTCATGACTAGATAGGTTAGAATAGTATTCGTATCACTATCAAATTTGAATAAAACAAGAAATATTTGACTAATTTGTGTTTTCTTATAATCGATTCATGTGAACAAACTTGATGTGAGGTTTAAAAAGTTTTCTTCAAGGAAGAAACATGAATTCAATGGTAAATAATTAAAGTTAAAATGAATTTCTAGAAGAGTACTGAATTAAATCAAATGAAAAGCAATCAAATCGTTTTGATACATGTTCAATAGACCATCACCTGAAATAATACTTAAGGTTTTCATTGACTTTCATCAATGAACGCGTTAAATATTCCTCTAATTCATCACTTGCTAGTTAGAAAGTTTTTCTACAACAGTTGTTCATTTGAGTTAAACAAATTTTGTTAATTCTTAAAACATAGTTGTCTCTATCTATCATGATTAAGGTTCTTGCAGAACAATACTTTTTTTATTTTGTCTTCACAAAAGCGCGTTATTTGAACGTCAGATGAATGTACATCGATTTACGAAAAACTTTTATCAGTTGTCAAAATGAATTTTGTTTTGATTGACAATAATTCATACATACTGATAAACGAAATCCAATGATGTTATATGTTGATTTGTACAAGCTACTATTGTTTATTTCTTACAGAACTGTTCAAGTCAACTTTATGAACCCATAAAACATTTAAGACGATTCTGTTTCAATATCGTCAACATATTTTTATTCATTTTCAATACTATTATACAATAGCCAAAGAATGTTTGAAAAATTTCAATCTCTTCAACAAATCTCAACATATTTGTATTGTCGACTTTTAAAATATATTACATAGCTAAATAGGTCTTCAATAAGATTAGACATAATCAAACAAATTATCTGTTGAAAAAGCTTCTGTCAATTCATTAAATATAAGTATTCTTATGCAAAGAAAACACCTGCTATAAATTTATCATTAGACCGTCGCACGCGATTGTAATTTTTTTTAATTTCAATGAGAGTCCTTGATAATAGAGAACAATTAAAAATTTCTTTGAAATACCATAGACAACCAATGACAATTGCTCATAACTCTCTACACTATATGTACGAAACAGCTATTGCATGGACTAATTGAATCAATTAAGGTTTACGTCTGCTGATCGAACAGTTAATCATTACAATCACATTAACTGTATAAGATGAAAAAAAAAAACCTGAACTACTTACTATTTTTTAACAGATAAGTCACCACCGACACGAACTAGTGCAAAAGATTCGAAATACATATCGAAAATAGAGTTTTCCAAAGGATATAAGTACAGTTCACATAAATGAAGTGGTTTGATTTGAGCACATCATTGTGAAAGAAATTATATCAATAATGGAAACAATCAAAAACACACATAACAATCTCCACAAGTTGATATTAATTGTAACAAAAGAGATTTTTTCTATTGATTATTAGCAACTTAGTTTTCATTTTGTAAATCAAAAATTTCCATTAAAAATAAAAGATCTAATAGATTTATGATGTTCATTATGATCAAAGGCTTTTTAAAATTTGCGTAATCTATATATTTTCTGTAAAAGTGTTTCATAAATTCAGTACAATTCCAAAAAAAAAGACTTTTTTTTCAAAAGTTCATCAAACATGACTTGACAAAATTAAACAGTAAAAACTTTTTAAAATAGGTGCCGATTATTATATTAGAAGATAAAAAGAAAAGGTTCATTCAATATTTTCTTTTTATTGTAATCACTTTTTAACGTCCTCGAGATGTTGGTGGTTTTCCAGTTTCTCCACCACCTGTTCTTGATATACTTGCTGAACTCTTTTCACGTGTTGTTGTCGGTGCTAAATCAGCATATTTATTTTGTTCTTGTAGAGCTTTTCGTTCTAAATTTTTAACTTGTTCAAGTGCACGTTGTTTTAATTCTTCACGTGTTAATGGTTTTAGTTCTTCTTCTGCTCGATCGTCTTTTTCATCTGGATCACGACGATCATCACTATACAAAGAAAATAAAAATTTTTTAAGTAGAATTTTCTTGTGATTTGAAATATCTTACGTATTTGGTAGATGAACTTGAACATGAGGTGCTGGTCCTGTTGGACCATCACCAATTAGATTAGGAGCGCGTTCACGTAATGGAATATTTTGTTCCTAAAATCAAAAAATAAATGAAATAAAATATGAAAATAAATCTTTTACTTTGGCATTAATTGTTGCTTGAGCAGTAAGTAATTCGTTTGTTCTTTCTTCAATAATACCCAAATATCGTAACATATTATCTTCAGTTACACCTTCATGACTTTGTAATAAATTATCAATTTGTCGACGATCACAACCAATTTTTTTAAATAACGAATCAATACCTATTTTAAGCATGAAACTCTTAGAATTAATAATAAACAATGAAAATTATATAAATTCAGAATTTTCCATATAAGCATGATCTTAATGTTTTTTTCTCAACTTATCAAAAGAAAACTTAATTAATTGACATTAACATTTTCACATTGTAAGATATGACACTTATCAGGTGCATTTTTCGTTAGAAAAATTAGAACGTAAATACTGAAAACATCCCGAAAAAAAGTTCAGTTTCTTATTTTTTCACGTATAGTTATCAACAATCGCACTTGGAACGCAATCAGATAAATACATCCTCGGTCCACATAATACATTTTGACAACGAAATAACTGGTTCAATACAGACCTTGTACTAAACAAGAAGGTTCTAAAATGTGAATTTTGAGATATAGGTCTTTTAAAGTCAGCCTTTTTAAAAGTTTAAACACCAATCAAAATTTTTCGTTTTTCTAGTAATTGAAAGAGGGTGTTTTCAATGTCACTTCAGAG